GGCGAGGACACAAGTCCGTACTCACGTTCTAGTGAATTGAGAAACGGCGAACAATTCGCTCTCCAACTAAACACCTGTACCGGTCGCCACTACTTTGCAAAGATTCTTATTTCAGTCGTTGCATATATTAGCTGCGACATATGAATCAAGAGGCTAGGACCAAAAAAATTTGATTGACAGATGACCGTTGATTTATGATTGGCTGAATTTAGGTGTTCAGGCTGACGTATAACTAACTGGCCTGCAGAAGATAACAAAGAAAAACAGATTCTAAGACGAGATTTATTTTTTAAACAGAAATTTCAGTTCTTCAGTTCAGTTCTTAGTATTGATTTTTTTTAAAAACAAAGAGGGAAAAATGGCTACCTCTGCACCACCGCTCTGATAGATGGCGCTGTGGAGCCATTTTGTTGTGTGGCGCAACACCATATCTGTAGTTGAGGCCGTCACAGTGGAAGACATGGACAACCCCCCCCAAAAAACAAAAAAAACCATCAACAACCTCAAACAACATGGATACCAGAATAACTAAATGATCCATATGCTCTGTTGAACATATGCAGCACTTGCTGTTTTATCTTTACATGTAATGATAGCTGGTAAAAATATCGGGTTGGCTTCAGCCTGATGGTGCGTGCTGTAGTGTACAGGGGGTGACGAGGGGCGATCAGCCTCTAACGACCATCTCCCAATCAGTCAAATTTGAGTAATTTTTGTCAACACTGTAAATAATAGAACTTCTCCACACACTGATTCTCTTTTTAACATATATCACACCGCACACATTGAACCTTTTGTCGGCTTGTTTCATCATATCCAGAAAGTCTTCACCCTCAAACAGAGGATTCTCTTCCTTCCTGTACCTCTGATCTGGCTGTGGTGTCACTGTGTCAGGAATCTAGTTGGGAGGAAGAAATGTAAACGATTAAAGGAATAGTACACCCAAAACATGATTAGCCTTCATTTTCTACTCACCCCCATGCTGAACAACACTCTGGAGTACTTTTTTGATATCTCAAATGCATCTGGAGATCTGGGAGGCTTCTTGCTGTCTGCTGACATTCAAATAATGGAGGTCTATGGCGCCCGAGACAGAAAGGTCCATAAAAGTCCACAAAAAACGTGTCAATATTCCTCCATACTGCTCGTCCAATGTATTCCAAGTGTCCTGAGTGGGTAGCATCCAGAATTTACTCGAAACGAAGTCATTTAGAATGTTTTTAGAGCATAAACAGTAGTGTATAGGATTTCCTGAAAGCGCGTTCACGACGCTACGGAAACCGTGGCAGACCAAACCAGACGAAAGTGCGCATTCAGCGTCTGCTCTGCCAATAATGCAAGCGTAGAAGAAGAAATGTGCTGTTTACCTGTGCAAAGAAAGAAACAACGAAAGAAAAATGTCTGAGGACTTCAGTGTTGAGGAAGAGCATGAGTTCTTTGCCGAGCTGAATGCGCACTTTCATCTGGTTTGGTCTGCCGCGGTTTCCGTAGACTCGTGAACGCGCTTTTAGGAAATCCTATACACTACTGTTTAGGCTCTAAAAACATTCTAAATGACTTCGTTTCGAGTAAATTATGGATGCTACCCACTCAGGACACTTGGAATACATTGGACGAGCAGTATGGAGGAATATTGACACGTTTTTGTGGACTTTTATGGACCTTTCTGTCTCGGGCGCCATAGACCTCCATTATTTGAATGTCAGCAGACAGAAAGAAGCCTCCCAGATCTCCAGATGCATTTGAGATATCAAAAAAGTACTCCAGAGTGTTGTTCAGCATGGGGGTGAGTAGAAAATGAAGGCTAATCATGTTTTGGGTGTACTATTCCTTTAATATCCAGTGTATCAGTAGAGCATCTTTCCCTTAGGACAGACAGACAGATACAGGCACAGGAAGGCACACACACACACACACACGTTCCCACTACCACAGGCCCACCCGTTCCTTACCTTCCATGCTATGGCAGCATGTTGGCTCCTCAGACGTCTATTTAGATTCGCTGTGTTCTTCCATTTTGCCATTTTAAAGCCGCAGACTCTTTGGTGTCGTCCTTCCTCCGGTGTTCTTCTTCTCCTTGTAAATGAAATGGCTCCATACATCCAGGCGTTGTTTTCGTCCAGCTCCTCCAACAAACCGCACACCGCTATCCGAGCCCAACGCAATGACTGTGAAGTTGAGCTAAGAGTATAAGCCCTCTGCTAGTACTGACTGAGCGGCGCGAGGCCCTGTGGGACCGGCGCCATGTAGGGACAAACAGAGCAACAACACATAATCTTCTATGAAGCTCAAGAAACACTTTTATTAACAATAACAAATTACAAAATAATTATAAACAATAATATTTCTTAATGTCCATTCCTCCATGGCTCGTAAATTTCATCTGGTCTTAGTCTCGTTTACGAAAATCATTTTTTATTTTCTGGAAACAATTTTGCGCTTCATCGTCTCGTCATCGTCACGGGAAAAAGGGCCGTTGATGAAATATTTTCATCATCGTCCTGGTTTGATGAAATCAACACTGGTGGGCTGTGAACTTTAAACCCTGCAGTCAGCTGTAGCTGCGTGCAACGATTGAAATAACCGCACAGTCTATCCCCGCCTAAAGATGGTTGCTCCGTGTTCGTATCATCTCACCCTTATTTGTGAATATTAAAACTTTTCCCACAAATAAGACGACTGGTACATTAAAAAATCATGACATGCTTGTATCTGTGTGTTCTGCAGTGGTAATTTAGACGTTTGTGAGGTAAATAAAGATCTTTGGCCACCATTTAACTGCTAACGATGCAAATGACAAAATAATATAAACTTATCTTTCCTGGAAAGTTACAATATAGAGGTAGATAAGTTTTACTGGCAGTGATGTGAAATGATTTCTACCAAACAGCCTAACTTTACCTGTAGAGTAGAAACTTTGGGAACCGCTGGCAGACCTACCCCACGGATAGCAGGCAACGTTTTTTGTGCCTTTTTCTGTTTGAGCTCCAGTAAATTGTGCAAAAACATACAGGTTTAGCAGCTATGTCCAGTAGGCTGTTTGATTTATAAAGAAATCTGGAGAATAATGCTTTGGCTGATAACTTTTGACAACGACGTGGCCACATAATGGACAGTGAAGACGGACCGCTTTAAAGGTGGGAGAGCTTTAGGGATTTAACTAAAGAAAAGAGAATGCCCAGAATACGCTGTATTTTTGGTAATTGTGGACACAGATTTGATGATTTATTGCTTTAACCCATGTTCTAACATCAGTTTGTCTTCTGGCAGATGCTGGGCAACGAGAAGGAGGAGAAAGAAAGCGACCACCTGATCATCAAAAGGCAGCTGCGCTCCAACAGCAGCAGGAAGTGACCGCCGGCTTGCAGAGCCTTGGACTTCAAATGTGTCATTGGGTTATTGATGGAGGATGTGAGAAGATAAAGGGTTTAAGTTCTTTGTTTTTTATGTTTGTGACTTAATCAAAAGCTCCATTATAGGAGACTTTTTTTTTTTTACTGAAAACGGCTGCATCAAATGCAAGAGGTGATTCAGAGTAAAGGAGAAACGGCAGGAGGAAGAACCGTTATCAGAGGGATGTTCTGATTTTAGTCACCTGAAGATCCACTTTATATCCATAGGAACCTCTGCCTGCTCTTTATCATGGTTCTGATGGGGGCTCTAATGTTCCCCGCAAATACAGACGATACAAATAAAGGTTGATTGAGGGGTTCAGAATGAAAATAAACAAATTTCTACTCAAACATCACATTCTAGAGATTGCACCTGTTTCTTTATGTAAAGGGAAGCCGTACTGCTGCTTGGTTCATATTTTCTGTAAGAAAAAACAGATTAAACTAGATAACTGAGCTGTTAATGCATGCGGTCTCCTTGGATGGTATATTTATTTACTTTTAAGGGTTTTCTGAGGCTGGGTATACAGATGTTTTCAGTCGTTGCACGCAGCTACAGCTCAAACTACGATGAAGCTGCAGGGTTTAAAAGTTCCCAGCTCACCATGTTTGTTCTCACACTGTGCGACCCGACGCTCTGATGCGATCTACCTGCTCACACTGGACGTCTAAAAACCAGGTGGGACTCAGCTCCACAGTGAGATGGTGCTACTCGGACTCGTTTATCCTGAAGCCAAACCAGTAGAAGAGGAATATGAAGCTCACTAGAGTGAAACGCGCTGCCTTGGTATTTTGGGCAATTTTGTGCTGAAAGCCCTAAAAAGAAAAGTTGACGACGTATTTGGACAAAGACATGGCTGAGCAAACGTGGCTACTACAGTCTGTCAGTTTTACAGAAAGAACTCCATTTCACTCATTGCACCCCCGCCATGCTGCTGGGTTTAAAGGAAGAAGAGGAATCCTTGTTTGCCCACACGACCACCTTACAACAGCTGAATTTCAAACATGTTTGATTTTCTCCCGACCTTACGATTCCTGATGGGGGGGGTGGTCGTGTTTTGTTAAGTAGAGCGCAACAATCGTTCAGTTTGGTATATAGGCAGTTTCTTGATTCCCATATTTTCTCAAACACCAGAACTGAGCGTTTGTTATTTTTCTTTCTTTTTTCTGTCTTAATGTTGGCAGTGGGCTTTATGCTGCCCTGCAAGGCTTTAAACCTGGGTTTAAATGGAGACTAAGCCATTCTAAAGCACAAGGAGCTCATTTTGAGCCTGGATCCAGATTTATTTTTGATTCTGTTCATGGTGGAGAATCCTGCTTCACAGCAGCAGGTGGAGAATCCTGCTTCACAGCAGCAGGTTGAGCCAAACATCCTCTAAATGTTCAGGGTCATCTTTGAGCACCATTTCACTTTTCTTTCACCAGTTCACCACAGTTCATCCAGCAGTCCACACTTTCTCTGCTCTCTTTGTCTCATCATCTTCTCCTTCTTTCCCATCGCCCGGCTTGCCACAGGTTTGCCTGCTGTGTCTAAAAGTAGCAGCAGCAGCAACCCAGACTGACAGCAGCTCATTTGGATCACGTGCAGCCTGGAGCCGGACACTCTGGAGGGCTTTACCGTATTAACAGGAGAAGCGGTGCAAGTGAAGTTAGACACTGCCATCGGACAACATGCAGTAATTTATTAATGTTTTACATCAGGTTGGGTCCGGATTAGCCCTCAGATGGGTTTGAATCCAGACTACAGTCCACTAATCCATGACCTCTGATTTAGGTAATCTGATCAGCTCAGCCTGTAGTGATTTTAAATGTCCAGCAGGTGTCAGTATTCAGTGACAAAAGTATCAGTACAGTTTGCCAATGTGTGAAAACCTGTTATGATGAATCATTAATGCATCACTAGTCTGTATAAACAAAAACAATTTTAATTTCACAAGTTTTAGTGTCATTTGAATCGGCATTACTAAAGGAAGTGAATCCGTTTCCTGGCCGATTTGTTCCAGAAACATTCATGCTTTCTGTGAGGTTACTAACCTCACTGGACTGCCGTTGAGGTGAGCTCTCATCAAGGTTCTCTGCAGACTTTTGATGAGTCATTTGACTCTATTCAGACTCATTTATTTGTCCAGACAGGAGGTTTGGCATTGTTTTAATGTAAAACTCTAAATAAATTCACAGTTGTCCTGCTGGGCTTACAGTATCTAAATCCAGTTGATCACTTATACCATTATTATGAGCCTCTGGCTTGGCTGCACATATATCTGAGCAACAGTCTGATTGGTTGGACAAAACTAGTGGGAGGGGCTTGTGCTTGCTGGACGAGAGCCGACGGGAGCGAATCCCAGTGACTAAAGACACAATGAGCGCGCTGGCCAGCAGGGCGGCACCACTGAGGGTGAAGGTAGCGATGTAATTTCCTGCGACGTCAACCAGCCATCCTGTTGGAGCGGAAAATCAGAAATCAGCTGTGATGCAACCAGCGAGGTCATGATATAACAGTCATCAAATAACAAAGTACAAATACTTTTTACTTCTATTCTTTACATTTTTTGTAATTATCTCTATCATCTATTCGTTAAATTTTAAAAATAGACTCATTAGTTTTGTTTCATTTAAGCTCATTTTCGTTATGTCCTTTTAGTATTTAAAAAAACCCCATTAAACTAATTTGTTTCATCCAGACAATTATTTTCTTTGTGGTTAGACTCGGTGCTGCCCCAACTTGTTGTTCACCACAAACCAAAATAAATCATTTTTCAAGATGATGCAACACTCATTTTAAGTACAAGTATATAATTGCGTCCTACAATTTGCACTTTAAAAATTACTTACATTCTCAGCTTTGCTCTAAATTGTCCAAAACTCTTCTTGCCAAACTATTTGTGTATTGTAACTTTGGAGCTTTGTTGCCTTCCGACTACTCTCTGCAATCGGGGCTGCAGCGTGTTCACCTCGCCGACTGAAGCCTTAAAGGTGCAGGGTTCATGCTCTCACAGCGCAACGACTCTTAACTGATTCCCTAAGTGTTTTTCAAATACAAATGTACCTTTTGACATTTTGGAATTTCAGCATTTACCTCCGATTGGTGGACTGAACAGGTAAGGGATGGCGTGCAAGAGATAGACCACACCCAGTGCGGAAGACAGGTATGGAACCCCCACCACGTCTGATGTCACCACAGGTATAAGTGCCACGTATGCGCCGTCAAAGTAACCATAAACCACAGCGAATGGCACAAGTTGAGCAAAGGTACGAAGCAGCGACACCAAGAAGCAGCAGAGACTCTCCATTGCCACGGCAACAATGTAGCAGATGAGGCGGTACGGCTTTAGACACCTGTAGAAAGACAAATGAGCAGGAAGCAGATTTGGTCTGTAGAGTTTTCCCAAGGTTTAAACTCTGCACTAAATTCTGCTAATTGTGTTTGAAGCACATCTTTCCATCAAGGCTCCAGTCCTCCTCTGTCTACATGTACCTTGTGTCGGTCAGCCAACCAAAGGTGATGTTCCCCACAATGTCAATGGCTCCCAGGATGGACATAAGGAAGGCGGCGTTCTGCTGGCTGACGCCAACGCTCAGAGCATACGGCACGAGATAGACGAAGGGCAGACTGCACCCACTGGCCAGGAACAGGAAGGACGCAGCCAGACCCAGGAAGTCTGGCAGCAACAGGAAGCTGTACTCTGAATCCAACCGGAAGCAGGAACTGAGGCTGCACCTCCCCTTCCGCCCAGAGGGAGGGTTTCTGAGAGCAAGTAAGGATGGCTGTTTGGCCGATGCCTGAAAAGCATCTTTGGAGAGATTTATTTCACCTTCCTTCACTCGGACATCACCTGCATCAGATCGGAAAAAAAAAAAGTTTGCCTTTGTTTGGTTAGCTGCTCTGATAGAAGATAGAAAGAGCAAAAGCACAGGTGGGTCATCAGTGATGGCTAACATGTTATTCAGAATTAAGAACCACTGCTCCACTTCATAGTAGGACAGGGTTGCTTGTTTTGGCGATCTGCCTGCTACTAGAGATGCTTCTGTTGTTAATATCTATTCCACGACCGTAAGTAAGACCTATTAGCTCTAAAGTTCCAACTGTTGCATTTCTGAATTCTCCCGAGTGGTGCCCGACTTTACACAAGTGAATAAAGTAAATGTGATTGGTCGTTTATCAAGGGGGCGGGATTTTTGTGGGGGAAGGCTTCAAGCAAGTTTGGTTGTCGCCGGTTTGTCGGAAGTATCTTGCTAATCGGTTAGCAACCTAGTGCTAGTAGGTTCCCAATGGAAAATTTCATTGGGATTAAGTAGCACTAAATTGGTGACTAAAGGTTGATTTATACTTTGAAACTAGGCCATCTGCGTAGGTGTCGCAGTGAACAAAAAGACTTCCCCGCCCCCGCCGCAGACACTCTGCTGCACCTCTCCCAAATTGTAGGTGACTGCAGACAGTGCCGCAGACAGGAGGCAGGCTTGTTTTGTTTTTATGACCGCAATTGTGGAAAAAAATCTGGAAATTGGACCAGCTAGAAGAGCGAGGTGCGCGAGAACGATGGGACCCTTTTTTCCACCTGCTCTTTTTCACCTTCATGTCCCTCCGTTGTCGGACAAACTTGCCCCCACTTCCTTACCGCCTCGGCCGTATCTAGACCCACAGCGTATAGCGCAGACTACGCTTCAATATTAAGCATAAATCAAAAATGTCTGTCAAGCTGACTGACACACTGCTGCGGGGAGTATAACCAGCCCTTTAGAAACGACACTGTCTAGGAACGCTATGGACAGAGGAAACATGCAAGAGGAGGAGAGTTTAGTGTCGGAGGTCGTGGATGAGTCTCCTCCATCATCCATTTTTTATCTAGAGGAGAAAAGCGGGGATGAAGATGTTGTGGAAGAGGACGCCAGGGCGGCAGAAGCTTGGTTTGTTGTAGAAGGCTTACAGCCGTACGTTTGAGCCCTTGCCTCGCAACGCTGCCAGTTCTGTTAGCTCTACGCCTGCTGAAGACACAGACGTCCATCCCTATGAACACTGGGACGGAACTCAATGGGAAAGGAAATGATTCTGATTTCTTATTTCAACCGTTGCGTATTTTAGCTGCGACATATGAATCAAGATGCTTTGACCAAAAAAATGTGATTAACAGATGACCGTTGGCTGAATGTAGGTGTTCAGGCTGACGTATAACTAACTGGCCTGCAGAAGATAATGAAAAAAAAATGTTAAGACATTATTTTTTTCTTTTTAATACAAATTTTCTAACTTTTGGGACAATATGGTCTGATAAAGAGTACATTTATATACATGTTTAAGCCGGAATGATTTCACATATGAATAGGACTTCCCTAAGACTTTAATATAAGCATATAAATATGCTTCTCATCACCTGTCTCCACCTCTTCGCCCTTCTGCACTGTTATTGGTCGCAGCAGTGCTCCACAGACACACAGGTTAGCTACAAAGGCGCTAAGGACAAGCAGTGCCCCCCTCCATGTGTATAGGTCGATGAGAAGTTGCACAACAGGAGCCAAGACAAAGGTGCCGATACCGCTGCCTGACATGGCAATGCCGTATGCCAGGGCCCTCCTGCGCTGGAAGTAGCACCCGACCAGAGCGATAGCTGGAGTGTAACAGAGAGCAAATCCCAGCCCTGTGAAGTACAGACATGTTCAAAACATTTATTTACAAAACACCATCAAATATAATCAGCTGTTCTCTATTGAGAACAAGCATTTCTACTGTCTTTACTTGAGCATCTCCAGATTCATCCAAAACCATTTTGATAGGATTTTAATGTAATAATTAACTTACGGTATGCACATGATGATACTGGTTGTTTTGCAGGATTTGGAGTTAAACACTAAAGTTGGAAACAACTTCCGGCTTTGAGCAGCTTTATTTGTGTAACACTTGACCTGTGAGGACTCCCATGCTCAAGTAGAGCAGATCCAGGCTGGAGGCGAAGGAGCTGAGCAGGAGTCCACAGGACGACAGGAGTCCACCCAACATCACTGCCACTCTGCAAGAGTAGCGGTTCCCCAACAGACTGCCAGCGGGAGCTGAATATAGAGTAACATTCAGCAGATGCACATGTCTTCATGGTGTCAATGTGACCAGATGGATACAGACCAAAAAGCATGGTGGTACAGTCCACCAGGCTGTGGATCCAAGCAGTGGAGGAGTAAGTGGCCCCAAAGTGAGCCTGGAACTCTGCAAAGAAGATGGAGATGCACCTGAAAACACAGAGGAAAGTACTGATAGGACTTAAATCTGGGTGTGTTGATGGATCTGAACCCTTAGCCACATAAAGACCATAACAAAATGGGCTTCTATCATCTAAAGAACTGTCTCAGCAGGACCTTGGAAAAACTAATTCATGCTTTGTTCATCTTTAATAGAATTGATCCCAGCAGTGGTTTCCTTCACAGTTCTGCCTAGAAAGTGGTTAAGATAGCAGCTGATCCAGAATGATGCTGCCTGCATCCTCACTATGACCAGATAGTAGAGAACATCAGCCCGGTTCTGAAGTGCCTTCCAATGGCCCCCTTTATCTCAGATATAAACTTTATGATACTATTGTTTGTCTAGAAATCTCTGAATGGCTGAGCTCCAGGATACATTACATTGTATAAATACATAGTTGTCAGACTTTTCAGGTCCTCTGAATCAAGTCTGCTCCACAGCTTTAAATTCTTATGATCCACTAATCCAGAATAAACTCTGCTCCTTAGTGCCAAACCGAGAGCTTATTCTCTCTACCTGGACCAACCGCACCCATGGGCGGTTCTAGACAGGGGCCAACGGTAGATCAGTGCCCCTGTAGATCATGTCCTGGCCCCTGTAATGAAGACATAATACTCAAAGAAATTCTAATGATGATATTCGCTGGAACAGACATCGTTGCTGATAGGTCTTTTGGATCTATTTCAATTTTTTCTTTACAAACTCTGTTTTACTAATTAGTGATAGCTTCAGTGGTGTTGCGTGGGCTCCCAGTTTTCATCTGCTAAATGTTTTTTTCAAAACAAATTGCTCTAATCTTTACGGCTGAATTTATTTATTATCATGCATTATTTAGTTCTAATTCAGATTTCAGAGAAAACTGTAATTGTAACTTAAATCAAGTCAAAAATATGTAAAATTCTTAATTTATGAATGTTTAATGATCTAATAAGAAATATAATTTTAATAATTCAATTCAGTTTATTTATATAGCGCCATGAACATGTCAACTAAAGGCAATTTACAGTTCACCTGAACTAATAATTAAACCTAATTGAATAGAAATGTCACTTCATGCAGCTCTCTTGATATATTTGAATCCCTTGCCCTGTTTTTTATTTCATGCTTTTCTGTGCCCCCATTAAAAAAAATGCTGGCCCTCTGGTACATTTGGTCTAGAACCGCCACTGACCACGCCCACTTCCAATCAGTGCATCTCAGTTCACCTTGTCTCCTGGCTTTGTCGATCACCTCTGCCGGTGATCTGGTCAGTGCCAGATCTTTTTAAAAGCCTTTGTGTGAGCAGATTATCAAGTGTTCTTTCCTTGCCTTCCTGATCACATCTCGTTATTTTGCTGGATTTCCCCGTCTTACTGAATTATCTTACTGCTGTTCCGCATTACGACCCTGTTCCTGATCATCGACTGCTTGTCTCAAGTCTCAGCCCTTGGAATCTGTTTGCCTGAAATGGCCTCCACAGTTCTCACCTCACGTCCTTTGACTGTCGATCCAAGCCTCATTCTCAGATCTGTTTAACCATTCTGTCAGTGGCCATCGCTGGGAAGAGAGCCAGTCCGTCTCACCTCCTCCTCAGTCCTGAGAAGCTTAGTGGCTTTTTCTCCAAATGTTCTAGAAATCGTTCAACTGATCTCAGCCACTAACCTGTTTCTCCATACCCAGTGGTTCTTGTTCCTGTCATTGTAATCCAGATGAATTGTTTTTAATAAGTTTTTTAGAAGTAAATCACGGACATGCAAGCCACAAAGCCGGAAGGTGTTTTTATTGTTGCTGGCGACTTCAACCAGGCCAACATGAAGACCGTGCTTCCTAACTTTTACCAACACGTGGACTTTGCTACAAGAGGGGCGAACACACTGGACCTTGTTTGCACCAACATAAAGAAGGCATACAGAGCAGCCCCCCGCCCCCACCGGGGCTCCTCAGACCATCTCTCTGTCATGCTAATTCTTGCATACCAGCCCTGACTCATCAGAGAAAAACCTGCAGGGAAGAAGGTGCGGGTATGGCCTGAGAGAGAGATGTCTGCACTGCAGGACTGTTTTGAGTGCGCTGAATGGAGCATCTTCAAGGAGGCTGCAACTGACAACCAGCGCACCAACGTGGAGGAGTACGCGGCATCGGTGTCCAACTACATCAGTTGGTGCATGGAAAACGAGACAGCAACAAAAACAATAGTCACTCGGGCAAACCAGAAACCTTGGATGACCAAAGAGATGCGAACAAAGCTGAGAGAATGCAACGCTGCATTCAAATCTGGTGATGCTGCGGCTCTCATGTCTACAAGGGCTAACCTGAAGCGGGCCATCAGAGACGCCAAACGAGCCTACAGCTGGAAAATCCAGGGTCTCTTCCAAGACTCCAACGACACTAGGAAACTGTGGCAGGGTATCCAGTCTGTCACAGACTACAGATCCACACTCTCATCCTGCCAGAACGACACCGGCCTTCTCAATGAGCTCAACAACGTCTTCGGAAGAGTTGAGTAGCTGAACTCCAACCCTGCGAGGAAAGCGACACCACACCCCGACAAACAGGCGCTCAGACTGGAAACATCAGCAGTGCGGAAAGTTCTGTGGAAGGTCAACACGCGAAAAGCTGCAGGTCCCGACAACATTCCAGGTGGGCTCATCAAAGAATGCTCACCCTGACCCACGTGCTCACCGTCATCTTCAACACGTCCCTGTACCAGGCCATCGTCCCATGGTGCTTCAAGTCTGCCACTGTCGTTCCGGTCCCAAAGACAACCACCATCATGTGCCTTAACGACTTCCGCCCCGTCGCACTCATATCCTCCATCATGAAGTGCTTCGAAAACATTTGTTAAGGACCACATTATCTCCACGCTCCCCCATCACACAACCCGCTCCAGTTTGCATACCAGTCCAAGCGCAGTGCGGAGGATGCAGTCTCCACTGCTATCCACCTGAGCCTGGAGCACCTGGAGGAGAAGAACTCCCACATGTGGATGCTGTTCCTGGACTTCAGCTCAGCATTCAACACGATCATCCCCCAGGACCTGGTAGGCAAACTGGGCCCCTTAGGAATAAAGACCCCCCTCTGAAACTGGCTGCTGGACTTCCTCACTGACAGAACCCAGGCTGTCAGAGTGGGGAACAAGACTTCCGACCAGTGGCGGCCGGCCCATAGGGGGCGCTGGGGCACCGCCCTCCCTGATAAGAAGAGAGAAACGTAAAATATATTTTTAGAAATTAACTCATAAATGTCAATTTTACTCTCTAGACTGTGTACCTATAAGCAAAACAAATTATATAAACTACATTTCCCTA